TTGCGCCATCATGGCGGATGCAGCAATCTGGATGACTTGTAGATAGTAGTCTAGATAAACTAGCTGCCCACTAACCACTTAGCATACTCTACGTCGCTGCTCCAGTCAGCACTAAATTATCGCGTCATCCAGGAACACTCATCCCTTTTCAATGCCTCATGATAGTATTTCCAAGGTCATACAAAAGATTACAGCAACATAAGGATTATATACAGCTGGATTTCCCACAACAACGTTTGAGGCAACTTTTGCGCGCAAGCCATAATGCAAACGGTGAAAATGGAAAAAGCAATAAAAGGGAAAGGAGGTCCAAGCCCAGCCAGAGGTCTTTTCAGCTCAGGACCCCAGTACGGGACCGAGTGGAGCTACTATAGAGTGCTCTCCACGGCCCTGCACCATGCTAGTCCAGGGTTCTCTGGTCGAAGTAGACCGCTGCAGCTTGTCTCCGGGGCGCAGACCGGCACCCGCTAGCGTTTTAGAACCTGCCAGAAACGCCATGGATATCAAGAGATCAGGAATGGGTGGGCACTTTTGCAGCTTTCAAATAACAGGCATGGCAACTCATCGCTAGCATCCGCGGCTCACTTAGAAACCGGGAACTTTCCGCTTCTTCATCAGAGCCTTACGCTCCTTCTCCTTGGCTGTATTGCAAGAATTTTATTAGCATTCATTCACTCAATCCGAACAATCATTGACCATACCTTCGTCATAAACAAGGAACTCGTGCAGGGCACAGCCAGCGGGCACCATGGGGAGCACAGGCACCTTGCGATCAGTGAACACTTCCAGAAGGGCAGGGCCGTCCTGCTCGATCAGCCACTTCAGCTTCTCCTCAACCTCCGAGGGCTTGGTGCAGCGGTCCGCGGCAACACCCATGGCCTGGGCCATCGGGACAAAGTCGGGGTTCTTCTGGTGAGTGTGCGAGTAGCGGTCCTCGTAGAAAAGGTTCTGCCATTGCGTCACCATACCCTGTTCCTCGTTGTTCAGGAGGAGAACCTTGACACCAATGTTAAACTGAGCAGCAGTGGTGAGCTCGGTCAGGGTCATGTTGAACGAGGCATCACCGTCGATATCGACGACAAGAGCGTCAGGGCGAGCAACCTTGGCACCGATAGCAGCGGGGAGACCGTATCCCATAGTTCCAAGACCACCAGAGGTGATCATGGTACGGGGGTGGCGCCAGCGGAAGTGCTGAGCAGCCCACATCTGGTGCTGACCGACACCGGTAGTGATGACAGTACGGTCCTTCATGTGAGCAGTGAGATCGCTGAGTTTCTCAATGACAGCCTGGGGCTTGATAGGTCCCTCAGCAGTCTCCCTCTCATAGAGGGAGAAGGGGAACCGAGCCTTCCAGTCGTTGATCTGGTCGAACCACTCCTTACGCTCAGCAACAGCCTCGACGTGGGGCAGGAGGAGACGGATGTTCTCAGCACAGTCACCCTCAACAGCCTCGTTGGCCTGGACAACCTTGTTGATGTTCTTGGGCATGATTTCGAAGTGGACGATACCACCACGGTTCTCCGAGGCAGCAAGCTTGGCCTGAGGGGCGAACTTGGAGATGTTACCGGTCACACGGTCATCGAAGCGAGCACCGATAGCGATGATGAGATCAGCCTCCTGCATGGCCATGTTGGCATAGGCAGATCCGTGCATGCCCAGCATGTGCAGGGCCTTGGGGTCTGTCTCGTCGAATCCACCCAGACCCTGGAGGGTCGTGGTGACCGGAATGCAAGCCTTGTCGGCCAGCTCCTTCAAGATCTGGGGGCCATCGGGGCGAGCAAGGAGACCCTGACCCACATACAGGATGGGCTTCTTGGAGACGTTCACAAGGCGGGCCACACGGTTGATGGTACCCTTGAGCTGCTGCATGCTCAGTTCACGGGCAGCCATGGTCGCAGCGCTGGGGAGGGAGGGCAGGGTGCTGTTCATCGGGATGGGTTTACGGAGAATACCGGCGGTGATATCCTTGGGCAAATCGACGAGGACAGGTCCGGGGCGGCCGCTGGTGGCGATTTCGAAAGCCTCCTGGATGCGACGGGGGAGTTCAGCGACGGACTTGACCATGACGTTCCACTTGGTGCAAGCACGGGAGATACCGATAACATCGGCTTCCTGGAAAGAGTCGGTACCGATCAGGCTGGTGGGCACCTGACCGCAGAAGACGACCATGGGAGTACCGTCCGAGAGGGCATCCTGCATGGGGGTGATAACGTTGGTGGCTCCAGGGCCGGAGGTGACGAGGACGACACCGGGCTTTCCAGAGGCACGGGCGTAGCCTTCGGCCATGTGTCCGGCGCCCTGTTCATGTCTCGGGAGGACGAAGTCGAAGTGTTTGGAGTTGTAGATGGCATCGAAAACGGGAAGAATGGCACCTCCAGGGTAACCGACTAGAAGTGGTGGGTCAACCTTATGGTCTTGAAGAATACCGGGAAACCGAAGAAAAAAAGACGCGTGACTCACAGACATGCTTGACGCCAAGACGCAGCATCATCTCATGGAAGATCTCTCCTCCACTGAGTCCGACAAAACTGTTTACGCTCCAAGGACCAGGTCAGCTCTACTCCCATAATCATCTTAAATTGTTGAGGGGACTGCATACGAGTCGTCCAGTTCGGGGACCTGGCGATTTTGCAGTGGCGAGACCTCATTGCGGTGAGGTTCCTGGTTGAAGGCAGGGCTGGGGATCGGTCTCGTGTTTCTGGTAATTCACAGGCATGTTAGCAACAGTAATTGACATCCCAGTAGCCAGCTGGATGCTAGTTGTAGATAATACTCACTCAGCCGGGGCACTTGCGGTGCTCTGGAATCTCTTCTGAGCTGAAAAGCGGTGGGGCGCGGTCGCAGCAACGGAAGCAGTAGTAAAACTCATTCTGCCAGAGGCAATGTACCTCTGGTAATGCAGAGCGCGCATGGCGCTTTTCGAAGGTCTCATAGGCATCATCTTGATGGCTGATGACTGCCAGGCCTGGGAATAGAGAAAGGGGAGTGCTCACAACGGGGAAAAAGAACGGGACCAGGAAGAGTGAGTAAGAGATCCGTTCCTTAAGGCAGGAGCGAAGACTCAGACTTCGGGGACGGTTATGGTTGCATTCTAGCCTGTCCAGGTCTAGCGCCGTTGGAGTCGAATAATCTGGGGTTTCCCATTGGCTACGGATACCCCACTGCTCCGATCATCGGCCCTCTTGGACGCGAAAGCGGTCACCTGATTGGGATGCAAGCCTCTCGTTTTGTCCTGTCTGCCCCAGAGCAACGCCTTGCAAGATCGCAATAATACAGGCGAGGGATGTTGATGATAGAAGTTGACGTTGCACAACCACATATTTTTATTTTTCAGTAATTGTCATGGTGCGGCCTTTTGTCAAGGTTCCAACTGCTATACGAGCTTAGAATCAACTAGCCTGATTCACTGCTGACATACTTTTAGTCCTCATAGCAACCAAGAGACAGGAGAAAATTAACTACAACCCGCAGAGTACATCAAATAGTAACTAGGGCTTCTACAGTTTCTATTTGAACTATAACCCCTTCAATCTGTGGTATTCACAGACTTTCGGATTTTCTACATATACTCCTACCGCGGGTGCCGGTCCGAATACGGCTCGCTAATGCATCTCCATCACATGCAGGTAACCGGCATGAAAAAGAAAGCAAGTATTGTATGATTCTACCCTAGTTACAATTTATTGGTGCAGTAATTCTCCGTGGAGGGGTTGTCTATTGACTCTGAAGATGACTCACTCAGAACATTGGTCAGCGATACCTGAACAATGCCCCCAATTCTCAAGGTCTAGGAACATGGTACCTTGGCCTTTGAACTTCCCTCATATTCATGAAGCTGGACCGAGCTCGGCTGAGCATACATAGGCTGCCTGCAGATTACTTGTTCGGCCTTGCGTCAAACATGCAGAGTTTCTGCCACAATGGGAACTTGGGTATCCCATCCAGTTTACTCCACCAGACGGAGTACATGTTTATGTGCTCGTGACCTGAATAATGAGCCGTTGTGGTCAGAATGGTGTAGTCAGTCCTTCCGTATAAGGTAAGAACCAGAGAGGATGTGTTGTTGTATCGCCTCACATGAGTTGCGCATGAGAAATTCGCCGCCGGCCTTTTGTCCCTTCCCGGGTTACTAGAAGTAGGCGCATAGGTTCTGCTGGAATGAGCTCTTCCGAGATCGGGACCACCCGACCTTTGTAAAGTAACTTTTGAAGGTTACGGGATGAGCTCATATACCGAACAGAAACCCTTTCTTTTCTGGAAAGGTCTTTGGATTGCAAGATATAAATTCTCCAGTTTCTTGATAACGATTGGAATGTGATGTTGTTACCCCACAATTTCTATCCAATACTAGTCAGTCTTGACTCGACCGGGCGAGGAAGCTAGCAATAGTTAACTGGGCCTGAACACCAATACCTGACTAAGAGCAGTATAGACTAATTATATTGTCTCTTGATTAGGGTGTACCAATTGGCTGGTGGTGGTTGACCTCTCTAATATTATACAGAATACAGACGGCCGTGCGACTTGCAAAGGTTGGCATCCACTCGGCCGTCCAGAAGCCGAGGCCACCTGGGTTCGGCTAAATTGGGTGTCTTGCGGGATTATGGAGAAGAGGATGCTTTACACGGTGTCGATTGGCTGGCACCTGTCGAATCCATTAACAATGGGGTTGTCGAAAATGAGATAGAAGTGTGACGAGGATTCAACGGAAACAAAGATACAACGGCTCGCCGTCGACACAATAGCAGAAGGGTATCCCGACCGAGCTGGGGGGACCCCAGGGCCATGCCGAATCAGCCGAAACACACGGGGAATCGGTTGAAAAGGACTGGAGAAGCGAGTCGGAGAGCCGTCCAGCGACTCCAGCGAGCGAGTGTCATTTCCGGGCAACTCCACTCTTTCCCCGGCCTTCAAGCAATCACACCTCCAGAACTATCCCGCCCGTGACCAGCCTGTTATGCTCAATCCGGAACCGATCAGGGTCTCTGCGGAGCACCACCACCTCGAATTTTTCCCTCCTATCCTGGCGATTCAGGGACGCTGACGTTTTAGCCGGTATTAATCTATTTGTCTTACTTTCTGCTTTTCTGCTTTTCTCCTTTTCTCACTTCGTTTCTTTTTTTTTTTTTCCCTTGCTCTTCTCATCTTCTCCCATATCCCGTTCCCCTCGTGTGATCTGCTATTTTTCTTTTTCCTCCCATTTCTACCCCGCCATGGCAACCCCGCAGGAACTCGTCCCCCAGACAGAGTCTATCGCTGAGGTCTACGCAACTGACGATGCCTCCGTCACTTCAGTTGCGCCTCACCATCAGTCTCGGTTTAACAACCTGGTCTCCCAGTTCACCAAGGTTTACAGCCATCGTCCCGATTTCGTGGCTCGCAGTCCCGGTCGCGTGAACATCATTGGTGAGCACATCGACTACAACCTGTATGATGTCCTCCCCACAGCAGTAAGCGTGGACGTGATTATTGCTGTAAAGGTCGTCCCTGCGACTGGCTCCGACTCTGTTGTAAAGATTGCCAATGTCAACCCGGAGAAGTTCCCTACCCGCGAGTTCGTCGTGCCTCGTGACACGGACATTGAAATCGACCCTAAGAAGCATGAGTGGGTTAACTACTTCAAGGCGGGGCTCCTGGGTGCCTTGAAGTTCTTGCGTAAGCAGAATGCAGATGGTTCTTTTGTGCCTGCTAGTATGGAGGTTCTCCTGGATGGTAATGTACCTCCGGGTGGTGGTATCTCTAGCAGTGCGGCTTTCGTATGCGCCAGTGCCTTGGCTGTTATGAAGGCCAACAACCATGATGTCTCGAAGCAGGATCTTCTTGATTTGGCTGTAGTGTCTGAGCGTGCAGTTGGCGTCTACTCCGGAGGGTATGTTACCACTGACCACTCCATTTCACTATCCGATGCTAAACTCTACTGCTTACCAGCATGGACCAAGCCGCCTCCATCTTCTCTCGCCGAGGATACCTCCTCTACACCCAATTCTTCCCTAACTTCTCCGTTCAGCACGTTCCCATTCCCAAGGCCGATGAGGAAATCACTTTCCTTATGGCCCAGAGCTTCGTCACCTCCAACAAGGCCGAGACCGCTCCCCGTCACTACAACCTCCGTGTCGCTGAGTGCACGCTCGCTGCCGTGGTTCTGGCTGCCCGGAACGGCATGACCCTCCCCAAGGACAACAGCTCCCTTGGATTCAGTCTCCGTAACTTCCACAACGAATTGATGCGCAAAGAGGGCCGTCTCGGCGACCCCCTGGAGTACCAGATCGACTCCGTCATCCAGAGCACCCTGGAGCTTCTGACGCAAGAGGAAGGATACACCCGCGAGGAGATCGCCAAGCTCCTCGGTATCACTGTCCCCGAGCTCGAAGCCAAGTACCTTTCTTCCTTCCCCGTTCAAGCAGAGCGTTTCCTCCTTCGTCAGCGCGCCCTGCACTGCTTCACCGAGGCCCGCCGAGTCTTGGACTTCAAGGCATGCCTCGCGAAGGCGAGCACCCTCGATGAAAGACGCATCCAGTATCTGGGCCAACTCTTGAACGAGTCTCAGGCTTCTTGCCGCACCCAGTACGAATGCAGTGCACCGGAGGTGGATGAAATTTGCGACATCGCTCGTCGGGCTGGCACCCTGGGTAGCAGACTGACCGGTGCCGGATGGGGTGGTTGCACCGTCCACATGCTCCCCCAGTCCAAGGTCGAAGCTGTTACCAAGGCCTTGAAGGAGGAATACTACCTGAAGCACTTCCCTGATATCAGCGAGGAGAAATTGGCTGAAGCCATGGTCATTAGCAAGCCGTCTAACGGCTCGTTCATGTATGTCTCCTACCCTAGGTTCTTTCGTGAACAGATACTAACGTAATTGACAGGGTCACGGGCGCAGCTATTGCCCAGGTTGAGGTTTAAAGGTAGCGTAGTATTCTCTTTTTGAAGTAGTGCGTCATATAATTGGCATCATGAACTTGGATCATTCAGCGTTGGCTTTTATTTCCCTTGCAGATTGCAAACAACAGCGACCCTTTGTGTCCAATTGGAATTTCCAAGCACTTGTGTATATCGTGTGAGAGTCTATGTACAAATGGGATTATCTTTGTGACGGGATCATCATTTTGGAATATTTCCTGCTTAGAGACAGCAGCACTGATGAGTGTCTGCAAGTTTCTGTTCCAATAGCAGGATACGTGGCAACCAGAAAGCCAGATCACTACGCCCAGGGCTCGAGGAGGGTAACGGAATACCCCAGGATTCTATGCATCCTGCTGGAATACGGACCTTTACAGTCCCGATAGCGTCTTCTCAAGACTCCAAAGTGCGCCATCACTCAGAGTAATGGCGAAGCATATTCACGCAACATAACCCAAACCCTTCAACTCTCAAGCCTTCTTCTTCGCAGCCGCCTTTCCAAAGAAATCACTCATCTTCTTCATTCCCGTCGTATTAACCTTCTTCAGATCCCGAACTCCCCTCGACTCATTCGCCTTCTTCTTCTTTTCCTCTTCCTCCATCCTGCGTTTCTTCTCTGCCCTGGACTCTGCAGCCTCCTGATCCTCCACACTCCTCTTCCGTGAGAAATCACCCAGCGACCTCGACGCCAGCGCCTCCGCCCTCAGCTTCGCCACAAGGTCCAAATGATCCCGCATGGGCTTGAAATCCCTCGGACTCTCCGGCGCAGCTAGTAAATCGTCTATCCGCGCGCTCATCTCCTTGGACAGATAGCATTCTTTCATGTATGACAACGCCACAGATATCCGTAGGAGGTTAGCTACGCCTTCAGGAACCTTCACGCCTTCGGGGAGATCCTCCTTTGCATCCTCACTGTTTGTGGTGGTCTTCTCCTCCGTTCCCTTCTCCTCGTTCTTATCTTCGCCCTCATTCTCTTTATTCTCCCCCGTAGCCGCCACATCATCCCTCTTCACCGCCATCAACGGCGTCGCCAGCGCCTGTCTCACAAACCTCTCCTCAAGACTCGGAGGCAACCCCGCACTAACCATCCTATCCGCCTTCGCGACAAGCTCCTGGAGAAGTTTCGTCTCGTTAAACCGGAACATCTTCTCGTCGCCCGCTTCAACGGTGTCGCTTATCGCAGCGGCGCGGGCGTACAGTATCCCGCGGAAGGTTTCGTCGTATAGCACATGGCGGAGGTGAGGTGGGAGGAGCTCCTCGTCCAGCGAGTCGATGATGTCGTCTAGGGGTTGGAAGAGGTTGTTTTGTTTGGTGTTTGCGGTGAGAATGGGGATGAGGAAGAAGAGGATGTCAATGGGGGTGGCGAGGAGGAGTTCGGCTTTCTTGGAGATGTGCGCTGGCGGTTGGGGTGTGGATGAGGAGGAATCAAGGTTGCGCACGAGTAGGGTGCTTCGGGGTGCGGAGGGAGGAGACGAGAGGACGGTGAACTCGTATACGCCTAGTTTGGGATCGAAGAAGTAGCGGGTTGGTTCGGCGCTTCGCGGGCTGGGGAGGGTGAGGAAGCGTGCGTCGGCGCTAACGGTGGAGGGGAGAATGAAAGTTTTCTTGGGGGTGGATTGCGCTGGGGGTGCTGATGTTGATGCTGCTGCTGTTGTTTGGTGATCGGAAGTGGATGGAGGGGATTGAGATTGCTCCGATGGAGCGCTTGAGCGGGTTCGCATAGTGATGATGCGATGTGTGTAAGGTAGTATACGAGGGGGTTATATGAAGTGTACAGGTGTTATGGGCGTTTCATTAGCAGCAATTGAGGTATGAAATTTGGATATGAAGATAGCGAAATGGAAATATTGACGGATAGTCCGAAGGGGGAAAGACAAGTAATAATGGTAATTGAAACGCGTCTTTTTCACTGGTTCAACGCGACACGCGCTAACCAATCATCGGCCGTTGCGACACAAGTCAGCGGGCAGGCATGCATGGGCCTCAGGCCGCGGGCGAGAAAGGAAACTAAAGGCGGATTGGTTGCAGCTCACTTTCATTCCCTTGCGTTTTATTTCATGCAGGCCTGCCGGTTCCTGCTCCCCCTTTCTTTTCTTCGTCAGAGTCTTGAATCCGTCAGGTGGCTGAGGTAGTTGTTGCTTTGCTGCTCCTGTCCTCCGAACCCCAAAGCCCCAGTTTCGAAAAGACGCCATTCCCCGCATCCCTTCGTTGAGTGAATATGGCAGGAAGGGTAGCACGATAGATAGAAGACGATAAGCGGGATCGGAATTCAATCTGCATTTTCTCTTTTCACAACCGGAAATACTTTAGAATTGACACCGTGGATGCGATGACAAGCAGTGAGTGAGTGCCTTGTGTTTCTGTTCAGCTCGACCTTCTTCCCGTGCGCTGACGCGCTGCTTCTGTTGCAGTGGCCGAGATCTCGTGGCCGCCAAAGTCCCCTCGGGATGCCCTCTTGAGTACTCCGAACGGTCGCAAGAGGTATGAAGAACTGCAGCGACGTCGCGAACACCTGGGCTCGCCTTTAAAACACTCTGTCACTACTCCCGACTTACGATCCAAGGCGTCACAGCTTCTTAGCGACGGGGTGGACGAGGGTGAAGATGATGAGGATGAGGAAACACTACAGTTGAAGCTCGCGGCCATTGAGGCGCGTCTTAAGCTCAAGCAACTTCAGAAAAGCCGCACGAAGACGGGGACACCTGGTCCAGAGAGGCACGACGGGGAGACTTTCTCTAGACCCGCGTCAGCCCTTGGGTCTTTCCAAGGACATGATGAGCCGTTAGGGACAAGAAGTCATGGTCATGTGACGGATAGCAATGCTCATATCGATGATGTCCAGGTGCCGCTGTCACCGACGAGGCGTGCTGCTCCTCCCACGGATCCTGTGTCCCCGCGGAGGTATTTGTTAGGCATTGACAAAGGCCTCAGAAGTAGGGATGTGTCGCTGAAGCGTCCGCCAAGTTCAAAGGGAGCTGCTCAGCCAGCAAGTAGACCTGGAACGCGAGATGGTCTAGTCTCTCGTTCTGGCAGTCTTCTGCAAGCAATAACCTTAGGTGGGGAGCGCAACCGTCCAAAGAGCTTCAGTGAACGTATGGCTGAGAGCCGGTCGGCCGATGCGTCGCGGAGAGAACGAGCAGCGCGAATGGAGAGAATTCAGGCAAATCGAAGCTCTGCCTTCCAGATCGATAAAGCGGAAGTGGAGGCCTTCAAAGCAGCTGCCGAGTCAAGGAAGGACGTCCCAGCTTCGCCAACGAGGAGGCGACGGGCCGAAAGCTTTAGTCGAGAAGATGTCCTCCGGTCATATAATCTAAAGCCGTCGCTGAAAAGGGGCCGGAGCCAGACCACGTCTAGCGTACAGAGATCTGATGATGGTGCGGCTGATGCGAAGGAGTCACTGCCATATTTTCACCGACGGAACCACAAGTCTGAGTCCGAGGTGCCGGCCAGCTCTCAAAACAGTGCAACTGATGATTCTCAGGGCGAGAAAAGTGGTGACTCCTCAAAGTTTGAAGCATTCTCTTCCTTGCACTTGTCCAACCGCATCCTACCCCATTCGTTCTTGTCTCGAACCCTGGAAGACAAGAAAGCTCTTAAGATTCCTGATCTCTTACGCACAGTGAAGGCGCCTGACTTTGAACTGCCAGAGGAAATTGACACAGACTATGTTGTATTCGGTATAGTAGCATCGAAATCAGAGCCCAGGCAAATCAAGCAACCGGCCAACACTACTAAGAAGGAGGTTGATCCATTTGACGATGGAACTAATAACACCAACCAATACATGGTCATTACTCTGACAGATCTGAAATGGACAATTGATCTCTTCCTTTTCGACACTGCCTTTCCACGATACTACAGAATCTCCGAAGGAATACTCATTGCCATTCTGAACCCCACAATCATGCCACCGCCCAAGAACAAGACAGACACCAACAGGTTCAGTCTCGCCATTTCCTCATCTGATGACAAGATCCTAGAGGTCGGCTATGCGCAAGACATTGGATTCTGTAAGGCCGTTAGGAAGGATGGCAAGACCTGCCACTCATGGGTTGATGGCCGGAAGACCGAATTCTGCGACTTTCATGTCGACCTACAGGTCCGTCGAACACAAGCAGGTCGAATGGGAGTAAATGGCGGCACAGGCATGTATGGACCTGGTGGCCGCTCAGGGTCTCGAACCGGTTTCTACGGCGGAGACAAGAAAGTTCGCCCCCAGAATGGACTGAAGCCAAATGGCGCAAGATACGACTATCAATCACAATCGTCCTATTACGTTGCACCGGCTCCAAAATCCAGGGGCGGCGGACCCTCCTTCCACCCTCACCCGTCTGGCCAGTCTGCCGCAGCCCTAATCGATGCAGATCACGACGACCCTTTCATCGCCGCCGGAATGATGGGCCGTGGCATGGAAAGCAAAGAAGAGCGCTTCCGCCGACGACTCGCAGAGAAGAAACGCGAACGCGACATCGCAGAGAGGCTTATTTCCCGTTCGGGGGGTGTTGGCGCTGAATATCTCCGATCACGAGATAACAACAACGTCCAATCACCCCATCCCGAGCAGGCAAAGAACAACTTAGATGAATTTTCCACCACCAATCTGGGCATCTCAAACTTCAGAAAGGCAGACAGTGTGAAGCTGAGCCCTCTGAAACGCGCCCATGACGGCGACAGACCCCACGGCAGCGGTGTCAAGAAGACCCGGTTCATAACTTCCCATGGCATCAAGGAAGCCGGAAGAGACAGTCTTGGAGGAAAGCCCGACATGGTGCCAACGAACAATGATGATGACGACGACGATGAACTAGACATCATCTAAAGAAAATCAGCCTTTTTTCCAGTGTTATGAAAACAAAATATAGATACCCTTCGTTACCTGCAACGCAGTTGGCTCCCGTCCTTCTACGGCGAATATTCCATTGAAAAATCACTCATTCCAGTGTCACTCACCAGCAAATACACACACTCGCTAGTCCGATTAAACATAAACAACAGAAAGAGAACATAGTCGACTACTCACTCCTATTTGACACCAACTTACCACTTTCATTTTCCTTAGCAGCAGAAACATGAACAGCAACAGAAATCAGATACACCATCTTGGTACCCACTGGAATATCCCCCCTTCCTACTTACTACTCCTACAACAAGAGAATGAATGAATGAACGAGATTTCTTTCTCTTTCCTTATTTGTCTGTCCTTCCAACGAACGACTAACTGACTGCATGATGTTTTTAGCACGCTTGTCTTCTTCTTCCTTCCTTTCTTTCTTGATTTGTACGAGTACCCCTTTTTTTCGTTTTTCTTCTTCCCGATGAGTTGTTGCGGATTATCTGGGAGATAAATTGTATTATTAGCAGAGTACCTACTACTATTATTAGCTTTATGAAGTAGTATGAAAATACTAGTAGTCTTCACTGAACTGTTGTTCCGAGGTGATTTGGTTAAACCCTAGTACTACTACTACTTACTAGTAAGTGCTATTGTAGAAGGTCGAGAACTGGGATATGGTACTACCAAGCCATATATATGTCTGTCATTTGTATAACGAAGAAGCAGAGTAGGAAAAGCAGATATCACAGTTTCATGTTCATTGAATGGTATCTAAGTTGGTTGTATGAGAGAAATCGAAACTCTCAAGCTAGCTACCTAAGCTAAGTAGGTAGAAAGGGCCGAGGGTCTCAAGCCCAGTCAGTCACGGAGACATAAGCAGTTGAAGGGAGCAGAAAACACACCGGCAATATGGAAATAAGAAGCATTGGAGAAAAGAAGAAACAAGAGGCAAAGAGAAAAAGAAAAGAAGAGAAAAACTCCATCCCATGTGCCAGTCCAGCCCATTTACCTATCCGTCCGTCCCATTTAGCCCATAGTATCGCGCCTGTTCCCTTTTCCGACTGATCACTCGGAGTTATTGTTATGTTCAAGACAAAAGACAATGATGCTTTTGTAGCTGATATCAAACACATGGAAACTGAACTGAGGACAGCCGGACACATTAAAAAACCTAGTATAGTCGACCTATTGAGTCAAGGACGCCAGTGAATATCGAATGAGAAGATAGAAGAACGCTGAAAACAAGGACGCTCGTCAAGAGATTGTTTTTTTCTGCGGTAGAATCCGTGACGGCAGAATCAAGAGGGAAGACTTTGCTTCCGATGGCTTCAAGGTTCTACTGGTAGTCTTGCATATAGGCGGACAAGATCATGCTCATGACGCAGTCGCTTTGTTGCCTCGTGTCTTCTTAAAAGCTGGGCCACCAGGGCTGCCAGCGGCTTCGGCATCTCGCTTCTTGGCTTTGGTCCCTGTTAGAGCAGGAGCTGTCTTTTTGCGGAGCCAACCATCGAACGGACTAACGCGCTTTTTCTTGGTTTCGGAGGCCGTGGGTGTCTCACTATGCTCGGGGCCATCCCGCTTGGATCGCGAACGCAGTGACCGCACCGTAGCCCCGGGTGACGCAGGAGTTGCAACGGAGGATTGCGGGGGAGGAGTGACTGGCCGTTGCTGCATCTCCACGTCAACCGCAGGATCTTCATCCTCCTCGACTTCATCGTGAAGCAGGTGATCTTCAATATCAGTGGCTGCCTCCTCATCGACATCGCTCGAGCGAGATTCTTGGGGAGTCTGCGACTTCGCGGTAGGGAAGAGCACACGAGGCTTGATTGACGAGCGAGTCAGTGGACGAACATTGTGGATAGATGAGTCGATGAGGTCCGGACGGGCGGCCAGCAGGCCCAAGTCATCATCGTCATCATCAAGGTCGCTCTCAGCGTCATCCGTGAACTTGCGGAACATTTTCTTGCCTCGGCTGCGGATATGTTAGTACACAAGACAAAAGTAGAGTAGGGAAACTTGTGGAAGTGAACTTACAAAACGTAAAGCATGCCATCCTCACGATTGAGCGAGTCGTCTATTTCCTTGTCGCGGCGGCTCTCTTTGCGTCTGGAGGCACGAGTAGTTGTATTGCTGACTGTGGGTTTGTTGTAGAACGGATTATCTTCGCTTTCGTCGACTTCCGGGATGCGATCGCGCGAGTCGGTGTAAATTTGAATCTCGGAGCCGCCCTGAGCGTTGTCTTCGCAGAAACTATCCAACGAGAAGCCTGTATGCTTCTTCGTCTTCTTTCTGGCGCTAGGGGGCGGAGGGAACAGCACTCGTGCGGTATTTCCAACATCCGCGACAGCCTTCTTGCGAGGCGTCTTGGCTGGAGTAGGAAGCATTCCTTCGGTCATAGTCGGTCGAAGTGATCGCGATTGATGCCGGAGAGAGGAAGGTTCTGCGCCGAAGGGATCCGAGTCATGTGTGCCGGAGGGGCCTCCAAGTGAATGTGTCGCAAACAAGCCGGTAGCTCGGGCCGACTTGAGCTTCCGGGGCGAGGTCTGAACTGAGCCAGGAGGAGACAGTGTGTCGGATTCATCCAAGTCGTACTTGTTCGCGGTGGTCTTCGAGCTCGGGAAGGTAGGCGGGGGAGTGGTACGGGACTCTCTGTCTCTGGCAGCACGTTGGCTCGCTAGCCTGGCTGAGTATCGCGTGGAGTATGGTTCATAATCATCGTATTTAGCCCCAAGTCGCGGAGTAGGCGGGATTCGTAGGGTGGAGGGCGGTGGTGGTGTCGTGGCCATTGTGAATAATGACGCCGAACACGGGCTAATACAGGTCCAGTGTGGCTGTGGACACGCTCAATAGCCCCAACTTCGAGTGCACAATAATACCCAGCTAAGCAGATAGATGCGAATCCAAAAGAATTGAGATATATAAGCGTGGTGGGTGATGGGAATCAGGCCGTGACAGGTTCAAGGGCGATAAAAAGGGAGGAAAACGCCAAAAGCCGACCGTGTAATCCAAGGCAACAGGGCGCGCAATATCGATGGGCGTGTCACTATCAAAGAGCAGACTCAAGGGAGCGAGACCAATGGAACGGTAGTAGCCGTAAACAAAGAAAGGAGGAGGAGAAGTAGTGGTAGTGGTAGTAGTGGTAAGAGTGGATGTGAATTGTGGATGTGAGGGAGAGAAGGTGGTAGTTAGTGGACTGGGGAAAGGGAGGGAAGAGAAGACGAGGTGAGGTTCAGAGAGTGGATGGGGATGGCTGGTGCCCGCGATCTGGAATGTTTGGCCCGCTTTGGTGGTGCTTCCTTGTCGCGTCCCAGCCACACCTTTTTTCCCCCTACACGCCTTCTTCCGCCTCGTTTAGTTAGGCTTTAACGACTAACTAACCAACCAATTGCTTGGGTATCGACTAGATAGACTAATTCCATAGTCGGGCTATTATACTCTCCCATCCCTAACGACTGGCTGAGACTGCCCCACGATAATTAGCTGTCGATCGGCATTCTTCCTTTCTTCATTGGTGGTTATTTCCCCTTCCCCTCCGCCAGCTGGTGCATTTCATTATTCAACTACTTCGATTTTGTATCCTCGTTTCCTTTCAAGATCAACCAAAACAATCATTGTTGTTTCCACAGCCACGCCTCCCCCCACCATAACCACCACCACCACCACCACCAACACCCATACTATCTATCACTCTTCCTAAACACAATGACGCACCGCAGCACCGCAGAGGAAATGGACAGGCTTCAGCTGTCGGATGATGACTCTGATGACCTTTGGGATTCCCCCTCCAAACGCGGAAATAAAATGCTACACCACAGAGCTGTAAAGGAAGAAAGCATGTCGCCAGAACCCACCATTACCCATGACGGAGGGGAAACTCTGTTTGACCGTCAGGAGGCGCGGGAGGCCGCATTGCGCAGTGAATTGGAGAGCGTCCGCAAGATCAACCAGGTCATTGAGGGGCTACTAGGAAGCTTGGATTGTGCTAAGGAGAACATGGGTGTAAGTTCAAGGCCAACTTACTGTCATTGACCTTCTACAATTTGCAATTGCTAACCGCCGATAACGATCTGTAGACTGTCTCGCGCACCATAGACTCTGCTTCTACCTTGCTCCAAACCTGGACGCGAATCCTCTCCCAGACCGAACACAACCAGCGGTTAATCCTCAATCCTAATTGGCAAGGCGCCGTCCAAGATGTGGCCGACATGGAAAACGAAGAAATCCTCCGGCAACAGGCAGCAGAGAGACGCGAACGGGAACTCCAGCAGCAAAGGGAAGCTGCTGCCCGGAAGGCTGAAGAAGACCAGCGCAAGAGAGCGCTGGCTGCGGGCACCCGCACTACGCGTGGGACGACCACTCGTGGACGGGTGGTGCGTAGCGGTCTGGGAAGGACACCAAGCACCTCGTACTCAGGAACAAGCTCCAGCACAACCAGGACTACCGCTTCTTCGACATCCAAGCCATCGACGACCTCCACGACGCGTAGACCGGTCAGTGGGATCGCGCGGGGCACAGGAATTGCGCGGGGGCGCGGCAGGGTGTAGAGGAGGCAGACATGAACAAAAACGATTTTCCATGTACAGTACTACGAGAGAGGAATGACAATGATGATATGATGATACCCAAGATGACATGCAGTTACGTGATGAGTGGTGGAGGTGGAAAGAATGTAACCAGCAGCAGCAGCAGCAGCAGCGGGGAAGTGAGGGCTGCCTGAGGCGACGAACTGCGGTACCGCGATAAAGCTACTTACTTGAAACTAGTAGCTCAAAGCGTGGGCTGATAAGCGCGTCTCCCGTCCATCCATCCCGTTTGTCTGTCCTTACTTTTCTCTCCTGGCTTTCGTTTTTTTCATCTTCCGCTTCATCGCCTGCTCAAGATGAACTTTGCGCCCTACCAGGACGAGTCCCCTGAGGTGGAACGCGCCTTTTCGCCGTCGCTGGCCGACGCGAATCGCATCAAGTCCCCCAATCTTCGATCGCCTCGCGGATCTCCTCCCGTCCCCGGACTGGCTTCACCGGGGCTCCCCTCCCCCAGTCAGTTCGCCGGTGCGGGTCATATAAACACCAGTGGACATGGGAACACAGGATTTGGCAATGATGTGGAGAGCGGTCGTTGGAATCTCGGGGCTTTCGACACCAGTCTTCCCATCCGCATGGATGTTGAAGCTATGCTGGCATATCTGCTTCTGCCTCCTGCCGGTGGTGTCTTCCTCCTGTTGGTAGAACACAAGAGCGACTATGTTCGGTACGATTCCATCTTTCCCATATCCCAGAGGCATCTCTTTGCCAGATTTGCTGACACGCCTTAAAGCTTCCACGCCTGGCAATCGAGCATGCTTTTCACCGTCATGTTTGTAAGTCATCGCTATCGACCGATTCGACCGTTGACACCTCTAACTTCATTCAGATACTCCACCTAATATTCTCCTGGTCAAGCTTCTTCTCATGGCTCTTGTTTATCTGTGATATTGCAATGATCGGTTTTCTCAGCATGCGGGCTTATCGAGATGGTGTGTTCTCACGATTGCGCAACGATAACACAAGCTGACCACACTTTAGTTGACACACTCGAACATTTCGAAGTCCCAATCTTTGGCCGACTGGCCAACTCCTTTGTTGACGATGAATGAACTCTATATAATAACTGCATGATATTGCTCTTCACATGATATGTGTCCCGAGGCTGCTCGCCTGATGCTTCTTAAGCCACCTTGCCTGGACAATCTTCCTGATCAAGGACTGGTGAGCCTTCCATTGTACAGTGTCAATTGAACATATTGCGGAACTTCTTATGTCTTTATAATCTGTTATTTGCTGGCCTGCTGTGCATGATGCTCTGCTATGTATTCCTGTCACTACCCATCATGCTGTCTTCACTTGAATTGTAATATCTCTTTATCACACCTTTCTAGCTGCTCCATACCGTGCTTCGTCAAATTCCGTCGTTGCCTGCCTGGCTGTGAAGTCTTAACAAAATTTTCATCTTGTAGTGATGCTGAAAACTTGATTCACAGCTTTCCGTGGAATAAACATCGACACAATGGCTCGGCGTGTGCCCCAATTCACCACACTTTGGCATATAGAAAGATTTCTTTCGGCGCCTGGCAAAGATGCCATAGCTCTCTACTCACCATCTTGCAGATCAACCAGCGAGAAGACAAGCCAAGATTTCCAGACTCATTTGCATGGCTTCAGATAATCAGCCAGTATCGAATCGAGAAAGCAGGAAACTCTTTTTTTAACCTCTTAACAATCGATGCCCTTTGATCCAGGGCCAATGAAATCCTCCAACCGCAAACTTCCACTCTACTACGCTTCTGCATGCACCAAATCCTTCTGAGACAGTCAAAGAATGTGCCACATCCAGCGGGTCTGCAACAGTTGCGGACATATTAACGACCACGTCTACCTCGTCTGCAACATCGCCAAAGCCGCAGCTGACACGAATGGAAATGGTGAACCATTCCAGCCCGGTCTCAAAAGTCTTACGCCCAAAAACATCTGGGATAAGATTTCCCAGGTTGGATTCCACGCGTCCACACAACCGTATTGCAAAGACGGTAGAATACGTTGCCTGACAACTCCAGGAGGTTTCAGATGTATGGTGGAGGGATGCGGCCGTGCAGACTAAACCGAAGACGTCAATGAGCTCTCTTGTCCTCCTACGCCCATCTTCCGTCACGATAGACAACCTTGAAATCGAAATCGACCTGCTATTGCTTGCCTTGCAGGCATATCTTCTCCCTCTTCACGTTCGTCAAAACTTCACACGCTGGCATGTGTTCCCTAATTCACTAGGGCTCGATTTCTTTCTCTTTTGTGATTGTACGATACATGTGCGCGAGCATCTCATTTTGTTCCAGTTGGTATTTGCTTTCTGAGCATTTCCTAGATATCATGCAGGTTCTATACCCTTTTGCTACTTTTATTTTACCAGTGGGCTGGCGGGCTGCCACCTGATGTGGCCTCCAATTAAGCTGTCATTTTTGGTAACCGGTTGCATTGTCTTGCTCGCTCGGCTCAGTTGGTCTCTCTTTGTGGGCTGTTTGGCCAAGCCTACCAACATTGGTTAGGTTTTTAGTTTCGAATGGTGACTCTCTTATCTGGGAACTATTACACGCATCCCCAACGAGATTAAGCTATAATGATTTGTCTAGTCATAGAATGTAGTACGTATACGCAAAAAATAATAGCGCCCATACGCCAAGTTATTATTCAAATATCTCAACGCAGCTAAATCAAAAAGAAAAGAAAAGAATTGAAGAGCTAGTCCGTATCTTCAACGAAAGACAATTCGAACGAAATCAAGCAAACAGGTATCGAAGATTCAGCACACAAGAAACACAATCAAGATCAACAAATGAGGTCCAGATAGGTGGCAACCAATTTTGACATGCTAGAGACTTGGGAGAGAGAAAACGCATAAAGAATGTGCCATGGAAGGGGAGGAATAGATACTACTAGACCCAAAGATTAGAAGATGTGGCAAAGAAGAGACAAATGAGCACAATTTGGTATCATGATCATGAACACGTGATTAAGTAGGACATGGTTGGGTCATAGATGGGGTGGTGGAATGAATGATTGGTTGTTGGTTCATGAGATAGGCATTGATCGTGTTTTGTCGTTTGTTTTTTGTTTAGGATTTTCCTTCTTTAGATGATTTGGAGGTAGTTGCTCGGGACTAATCCGGTTCGGCTGCGTGCGGTGGTGATTTCGGCTTCCCACCAGCCGTCGTCTTGGAGGCGGATTACTGACAAGACGTCGCCTTTGCTGAAGCCTAA